GGTGAAAGGGATAATTCAGTACATGTGTGTGGTGATGGGTTGTAATTAGTATTTTGGTGGTGAACATGATGTAATCTATGCAGAAATAGAAGTACAATGTTGTACACCTGAAATTTTTACAATGTTATAAACCAATGTTACTGCAATAAACAAAAAATTAAAAAAAAAAAAGTATATTTGGGAATGGTTAAATCATATTAATGATTTCATAATTAGCCTCTTATAAATGAGGTGAAACAAATACTCGGCAATGCCAAAAGAACCTATTTGTTAATAGTATCTATTTAAAAAATTGTGATACTCACGATGGGTCATTAATGACCGTCTTCAATGCATTGAGCAAATCTGTACTTGACATTGTGTGGAAGTCCAGTCTAACAGCTGCTCCCTTGGTCTTCATGTGAACAATATTATCAGGTTGATCCGCAAAGAAAGGAATGCCCACCATAGGGATCCCATGGTAGATTGCCTCATAGATGCCATTAGTTCCACCATGAGTTATAAAGGCTTTGGTTTTCAGATGACCTAGGATTGGGTGAATTTCAGCAAATTATGACTTACAAATCTTTGAATAAAATGACAGTAGAGCAATATAAGACACTGAAAGAGGCATTGCATTCTAGATAACAGATTGTTATACATATGAAACTACATTAAAATGTCTGTCAGAGCTCAAGAGATGAAGCACCTAAGTCTTCTCTAGAAATAAGTGAAGGCTACATGGAAGATTGATGTATGACTTGTGACTTGAAAAATGAATACAAGATTGGCAGGTGGACAATACTAAAAGAGAACATGCTGGATAAAAATAAAGAATGTGTGGTGATAAAAGGGGGTGAGGATACATTAAAATATATTCTCTTAATGAAATAATGAAGTCACTGAGTCTGACAAGTAGCGTGTCAAGGCAGCAGGAAGTTGATGGTGGTGGTGCAGGAATCAGAGGAAGGATATTTGACACATCTTTTCCCACTAGGACTAGGAAATAAATAAAAGAAAGTTAATTTTTATTTTTGAGGTTTCCAATAATAAATGTTCAGTAAGTTTTTTTCCTGGTGAACTATTATCATCTGGTTGGAGTTACTTTCATTTCAGTGTTTGTTTTCCCGAGTCTTACCAAGAAGGTCATTCTGGGGGATCCACTTATAGACCCGAGTATTTGGTCCTAAGGTATCTGGCTTCTTGCCGTCAAGTCTCCATATAACCTGTTGGAGTAGAGAGAATACCTTATCCATGAGTCAAACTTAAGATATACCTTATTAGAATCTAAATAGATTAAGAGACATCTAGTTAAACCCGTTCAGTATCACAGACAAGGAAATGAGGACAAGAGAGGCTAAGTAACGAGAACTACTGAAACACTCATGTATAGGAATACTCATCTTTCATATACTTATTTTATATTCAACCAAGTGTGATGCAATCATGATGTTTCACACTTGGACTAGAAAAATGACATTTTCAATGACCAATTTAAGTGCATAAAAAGCTTTTGGGCAGTCATAATTCTAGTGCAAAAAAATTGCAAATTACTAATGATCTGCTAATTTATTTTAACTAATTATTATACTAGCTCTCAACTTTCAAATTTAATATTAGCCTACTTCTTTGTTTTTCAGTGTTGAGAGAAGCAGCTCACTTATATCAACTTGTTTCATAAGTTATATTATTAGTTTTACATCTTTTGATTTACAAAGAGGGAAATGTATGCAATCAGCTATTTGTGAGAATAAAATAATTCCTATTATTAACAATTTATTATTAATAGTAAATCATTTCTGCTTGGTAAGTATGTCTAGCTTCTTTTAAATTACTAAATATTAAATACAACTTCCAAGAAAAATTTCAAGTAGTAATTTTTTTTGTGAATCCAGAGTATCATCATTGTTCTTAGGTTGGAAAATTCTTTAAATGTTGAAAAGAAGAGCCTCTTGGTACCTCATAAATAATAATAAAGCTATCAAAAAATATTGCATATCGTGATGATGCTAAATTTTATTCAGTTGACTGTTAACAATTTAAGGATGCACTCCAAACATTAGCAGCATTGATTAATACGATTTCATATAGCCAACCCATTTCCAAGTCCATTACCAAAATTAGGTACAGATTTTGGAATTCCCAAGCAATCCTCATCAGTTAGATTCTAATTTAGTAGTGTTAACATCTGTTTTCAGTGTGAGTCTTAAAGCAACTTTAGTTCTCAGCAAATTATCATAGATAATAAGCGGAAAGCTATATCAGTTAGGAAACTAAAAAGTAGTTCACAAATACCCAGAGACTCCAGGTATGTACTATATATTTGAAATAATTTATTACCATATTTTATGGAGAAGGGACATCTGAAACTTTCCCATGCTAGGCTTGTTTCTAGTTGACTAATTTTTATATTCCTTTCTCCATCTTCAATCAGGAAGAGTTATTTTTCAGATGGATTAGAAGCAGAGTCTTTGCAGGGCCACATTTTATCAAACACCTTACAGGCTGACCCACCTCCACCCTTTCACTTAAATTTTTCTGTTTCAGGTTTGAGCAGGGCCTAGTGCACAAGTGCAGTTTTTTCTCTTTCTTTTTTTCAGGTTGTTTTTTCTCTCTCTCTAAATCATCACAGCTGGCTAGATACCTGCATGCAGCTTGGTGAGCCCTGGCCATCCTTTCTCTGTGTAGCTCCCTGAAAAGCACATTGAATAGACCTAATCTGAAATTTAAGAGAAGTAAATGGGCCTGGATTACCTGGCAAGCCTAAACTTCGGAATGCCTTTCAGACTGTTATCATTTCTTGCTTAAGGTTACTGTTGAAATTTAACTTCTTTCTGAAAACATCTGTAGTGCGTACAGTGCCCTCAGCAATCGTGAAAGGAAAAGGAGCAAATGACAGGGCAAAATGTGATGTGATGATATATGTACTTGCCTGCAATATCATTATAACACCAAAACTTCACGGTGTACTTCTTTTATACATTTACTTCTTATATCAATGTTATTGCCATAGTTATTGTCAATCAAAAACACCCTCTGCACTGTTGGCATCTGCCATATATACTTCGATTTTTATACTCATATCTAAGGTAAATCGGATCTATTATAATACAGTGTAGTTTACTTTTCATGCAGGAAATTTCTGTAATCAGACCCTTTTCAAAATTTAGAAGATGCATTAAATAGTTGTCCACTATAAACACTTTCCTAACCTTTTGTGGAATCTGGGCAAGGGCTGATGCAATCACATTGGCCCTTTCTTCTGTCATGTTACTGACTATTGACCCCAGAGTAAACACCACAATACCATTTTCTCCAGAGCTCTGGGCAAACTCTTCCATTTCCTGTAAAGAAATAATTTCCTCCATCACAAAAGAGCAACAGCATGCTACAAACAACTAAGGAGAGAAAATCATCTATTATCAGGAATTACTAGACTAGTGCCTGTTTATTTTTAATTGCAGTAAAATATACATAAGATAAAATTTACTGTCTTAACAAATCCGAAGAGTTGTTCAGTAGTACGTGCATTATCATTATTGTACAATCAATCTCTAGAACTTTTCAACTTGCAAATTGAAACTATATCCATTGTACAATGATTCTCTGACAACTGTCATTCTACTTTCTGTTTCTGTGAATTTGACCAGTCTAGACAAGTTGTATAAGTGAGTCATACAGTATTATTTGTTTCCTGAGTGGCCCATTTCACTTAGCATAACGTCCTTAAGGTTTAGGCATGTTGTAGCATGTGTTAGAATTTCCTTCAATTTTAAGACTGAGTAATATTCTATTGTGTGTAAATACCACATTTTGTTTATTAATTCATCTGTCAATTGACACTTGGGTTGCTTCCACATTTTGTCTCTTGTGAATAGTGCTCTACGGAGATGGGTGTGCATATATCTCATTGGGGTCCTAATGTCAATTATTTTGGATAAATACCCGAAAGTGGAATTGCTGGACCTTATGGTAATTCTGTTTTTAACTTTTTGGGGAATCTCTTTTTTGTTTTCATCAGTGACAGTTTACAACAGATCTGATCCCTCAGATCCTTTGAAATGGTACAATTGATATGAGATTGATTTCCTTATTTTGTATATTTGTACAAATATATGCATGTGTGTGAATGTATAAGCAAGAATTGAAACAGAGCCAGTACACAGTAGTGCAGAGGATACGCTCTTAGCATTATACCTAGTATCTTCCTTTACACTGTTATTAATTACTAATATAGATTCTTGGAAGGAGGCCACAGAGTAGACTCTAAACTCACCTTTGAATCTTTATCATTATAGTTCTACTAAATCACTTGTGTTTATTCCAGGCAGGTTTTCTGGAGAATTATTTTAGTTTAAGTCATTAGTATTTTATTTCTCTGACAATGAGCACTAAGAAAAAGTTTGTTACAATTGGGATGGTTTTACATCTTTTTTCTCTTATCTCTGTAATAATTTATGCCTTAACCTTTGTCAGTATTTCCCCAGGTTCCCCGCTAAATCACTCCTTAAAGGGTGGAGAATTGCTGTCATTCATGAGTGTGGTATTACTGTTTGGCATTTCTTTGAAATAGCCCTAAGACTCCTATTTATAATCAAGGAATATACATGTAAAGATATTTATTAGAGTGACCGTATTTCTGGTTTGTTTATGTATGACACCTTTTATCCTGAAATCGTATGCTAAAGAGGATGTCCTAGTCGAGTGTGCTATGTGTAACTGGCTGTGAGGGGCCCTCATCATCACCTGACTGAGTCCCCCAGGGAGCACCTGACCCACAGTGGGAGAGGTACAGCAGGGCTTTCTGCAGCAGAGATCTGGTCACCCTCTTGCCTGGAACTGTTTCAGAATTATTCTGAATTGTAGTCCCATACTCTTGCCAATTTAAAATCAATTTATTACCCTCTGTACTGGAATATTTCCTTATTGCTCAGTATAGTCTCTTATGAAAAAAAAAAAATGTAAAAGAGACAAAAGTTTCCCAGATATCTCGTCAAAACTCCATATTCATCCTTTCTTTTTTTTTCGGTCCTTCTAATTTAAATTCATTATTTGTTCTTTTCTCTCTGGGAAATAATGATTTAACCCTTCCAATATAAAGAATATACTTTCTGATCTTAACTATTGTTGTTTGATGATCCCCACTGGATGTCCGTTAGCATTGTGGTCTTTCCTTATTATTATACTTTTCACACAGTTTTATTACATGCTTATACTCTATCTTTCCAAGTAGAATGTTAGGTGTGTGAGGGGGAAAACTGTGTATACACTGCTTCTCTGCATATCCAGCATTTATCTCTGGACTTTGCTAGTCACTTTAAGAATACTCTTTAAATGAGTGACTGATACTTTCTTATGTGTTGAATAATGAGGTGTTAATTTAGCTGACCCTATTCCCAAAGTCTTCTAGGTATAATATTTTATTCTGTAATGATAATGAAATTCAGATTCTTGTAATGGTATTGAAATATATGTGTTTCTAGTTGGCAGGTCACTTTACTTAGCTCCCATATCTCTCTCACTGTAGTCAAACATTCTAAATGAGGAACACAGAATCATTTCTATTGAAAATGCAAAGTAAACAAACCAAACAAACAAGAACAGGTCACCTTAGGCAGGGGTTTAGCAGGTTTGCAGTGGAGTCCTCCAACAAATTCAAAATGTGGTAAGAGTGGGCGAGGAAATTCAAAATCCCAATAGGTTCGAATGAGCCACAGTTCAGCTTTCCCCATTAACTCAGATAATGTAGTGGATCTCCCTGAAGGGAAAAAGGCAAAAAAAAAAGGTAAAGGAAATGAACGTATTGTAAAGCGAATATACCAGGTAATTTTCTGAAAGGAGCTTGGAATGACAAAGCCAAAGATGTGTAAAAGTGTCTGTTGGTTTCATAATACAAATATGTGTGTATGTATATAATAGACATATTTTATATATTTTTTTTATGTATACATGAGAAAGTGTAAGAGACTTTCATCTCTAACATCACATCAGTGCATTCACAATCGTAAACGATTACTAAACCTAAGCCACTAAAGAATTAAATATGTATTTGTTTACTCTGTTAAGCTGCAAAGGTAACTGATGCAAATGTAAACAACGATTTCAATTGCTCAATCAATTAACCCTATCATATCCATGGAAACACCTTTCACTAGAGTACTCTGTCAAGTTTCTACGATTTAGCAAGCTATTCCTTTGATCCTAGATTTTACAGGTAAATTGTGAATTTTTGGAACATATGGCTACTTCTGCATTAGGTTCATGTTAGGAGCTTAATAATATTTGCATATTGAATAAATGGCATTGCAAAAAACAGCTGCAAAGTTTTCATAAAGTATGGAAATAGATGTGCTAAATCTGAATTTTGGCTCATTTTATCTCTAATGGAGAGACGTTGTTTTAAAAAATATAGACTACTAACTTGTATATCCACCTCTTGACAATATTTTAGGCCTTTAAGACAGATGATTTGTAAGTACTTTGTGAAGGAGTGTGCAATCACTAGAAACTCAAATTATAGTTTCATATGTCTGAGATAGAGCCATTATACCTTTCATTTGTGAATGAAATCCTTCAGGTAATATGGCAAAATAGTTTATTTTTTAAATGAATCTAAACTAAACAAGAGGAGGCAATTACCTCAAGGCTCCCTAGACTACTGTGTTAGAAATATGTAACTCCTCAATCTATACGTCTGCTTTGATCAAGATATTTAGTGAAATTTCTAATACGTTTTATTGAAGGTAAAAAAAATTTATAGTAAAATTGATGTGTAAGATGAACAGGCATAACACAGAGGATTTTTAGGGCAGTGAAACTACACTGTATGATATACTGGTGGACTTCTGACATTATAATTTTGTCCAAACTCACAGAATGTGCAACACCAAGGGACAACCCTAATATAAAATATAGACTTTGTGTGATAATGATCTGTCAAAATAGTTTCATCAACTATAACACATGTACTTCTCTGGTGGGGAATGTTGATAACAGGGGAAGCAATGCATGAGTTGGGGCAGGGTGTATATGGAAAATCTCTACTCAATATTGCTGTGAACCTAAAACTTCTTTATGCAAGAAAGCCTATTAGAAACAAACAAATAAACAAGAATACATATGTGATTGCTTAACGAACTCCTCAGTGCTTTAATTTTTGGCTGATGATTTCCTGGAGTGTCCTGTACTAGGATGGGCCACAGGGTTCTAACTGACCCTATAATTTAAGCATTTCCATAATATTTGTGAGTTTGAGAGATCATTTTGTATTTTTATTGCAACATTTTACTTATAAGACAAATTCCTCTAACTTTATACAAACTCAATTTCCAGACACCAAGAAAGTTAGGACTTCAAGCCACCAGCTAAAAACATGACTTACCTAGTACTTCAGTGTAAAACTGATCCCACCTCTTCTCGTTTAGTGTTTGGAACCAAAAGTCAAAATAAAGAACATATATCATATTTTTTACCCTCTCCATGAATGTCATTTGATCACTTAATTCTGACGAAATAACAGGTACGTAGGATGGTGGGAATGGAAGTCCTCCACTATACTTTTCAATTTTATGGCCTGGAATGTAGCGGAGACTGTACACTAGAGGTATTTTCAGTAGCTCAGCCAGCAGCTCTCCACAGGGTCCAACAGCATCTGCGAGAAGGAGATCAAACCTTGATTCTTGTAGTTTTGTTATGAGTTTCTTGTTCAAAACTACATCTTTACAGAGCTTTTCAATGCAATCAAAATATTCCCAAAGGAGTTCTTGCAGTTGTGAAAAATATGTCCAAAATGTATCTTTTGGCAGATATGTCCATTTGTCGAACAGTTTTCTGAGTAAAACCTCAAAATCATGTTTTGTTAAAGATGTAGGATAAATTTCATATTTAATAGCAGATGGTTTGCTGGGATCAACAAGAATGGAAGCTGAAGATGTCAGAACACTCACTTCATGACCTCTCTGGACGAGTTCATCCAGGATTATCTTCATATTGATCCAATGGCTATATTCTGTGGGCCACACCAGCACCTTTCCACCACTCCCAGGGCTAAAGTAACAACTCAGCTGCAGCAGCAGCAGAACTGAAATCCATTTCATAGACATCTTGGTGGAACACAATGCTTCTTTTCAAATTGCTGATCCCTTCTACCACTGCTCAGGCTTATATTCAAGGAGAAATCAATCAGGAAGTTAAAATATAACTCCTACACCTCAAATTAAAAACATTGTATAAACAGTCAGAGCATTTGGATAGCAAATGGAAAAAACAAAAGGTAGATGAGTTGGTTTGTGTACGTGTTTAATGTCTGTTTTAATATTAAAAGTACTATCATCCGCTAAGAGGTGATGCAATTGTATAAGTCACTTGTATATGAAAGACTGTCAAGAGCAGTGCCAAGTGAGAGACAACTGTGTCTGCAGTCTTCTTGAACTTTAAAGTATATAATTCAATAGCTCGTAGTTTATTCACTATGAATTGTGCAACCACCACAATAATCAATTTAAGAGGATTTTCATCATGCATAAAGGAACCTTTACCCTTTAGACAGAATTCCCTAATCTCTGCTTTCTTCAAGCCCTGTCCAACCATTAATCTAGTTTCTGTCTTTGATTTGCCTGTTCTGAACATTTCCTGTAAATGGTATCATGCAATATGTGGTCTCCTGTGACTGGCTCCTTTCATTTAGCATAATGCTTTAAAGGTTTATCCTTGTTGTAACATGTCAGGGCTTCATTCCTTTTTATTGGCAAATAATATTCCATAGTATGGATAGCCCATATTTTGTTTATTCATTCATTAGTCGATCGACTTTTTTTCCACATTTTTTGGCTATTGTGAATAATATTTTTATTAACATTCATGTAAAATTTTTGAGTGGACATGTTTTCCTTTCTTTTGCATATATATCTAGAAGTAGAATTGCTGGGTCATGTGGTAACTCTATGTTTCACCTTTGAGGATATGGCGTACCATTTTCCAAAGTGACAGCACCATTTTCCATTCCCATTAGCAACATATAATGGTTCCAATTTCTCTAAATCCTTACCAAGACTTATTGTTTGTCTCTATAATTACAGGTACACTAGTAGGAGTGAAGTCGTATCTCATGGTGGTTTAAGTTACATTTCCCTGATCTTAATAATGTTAAACATCTTTGCATATGCTTGTTCAACACTTATATATCTTTTTTGGAGAAATATCTACTTAGAATCTTTGTTAATTTTTTAATTGAATTGTTTGTCTTCTTATTCAGTTATAAGAGATTTTTAAAAACATATTCTGGACATAAATCCTCTATGAGATTTATGATTTCTAAATATATCTTCAATTATGTAGGTTGTCTTTTCACTTTCTTGATGCTGTCCTTTATAGAACAAAAGTTTAAATTTTGATGAAGTCCGGTTTCTCTGTTTGTAATTTGGTTGCTGTGTTTTTGGTGTCATATTTAAGAAACCACTGCCAAATCCAATATCAAAAAGTTTTACCTATGTTTTTCCTTAAGAGTCTTATAGTTATAGTTTTACATTTAGGTTTTTAATCTATTTTGAGTAGTTTTTATATATGGTTTGAGGTAGGTGGTCCAACTTCATTCTTTCATATGTGGAGAATCAGTTTCATCCAAGATTGTCTTCATATTGATCCAATGGCTGTACTCTGTGGGCCACACCAGCACCTTTCCACCACTGCCAGGGCTAAAGTTACAGCTCAGCTGCAGCAGCAGCAGAACTGAAATCTGTTTCATAGACATCCTTGTGGAACACAATGCTTCTTTTCAAATTCCTCATCCCTTCTACAATTGTTCATGCTTATATTCAAGGAGAAATCAATCAGGAAGTTAAAATATAACTCCTATACCCCAAAGTAAATACATTATTGGAATAGTCAGAGCATTTGGATGGGAAGTGCAAAAACCAAAATGTTGATGACTTTGTTTCTATACCATGTGTTCAATGTCTGAGTTTTTTTGTTTGTTTGTTTTTTGTTTTTGTGAAGAAGATTAACCATGAGCTACCATCTGTTGCCAATCTTCCTCTTTTTGCTTAGGATGATTGTCCCTCGGCTAACATATTTGCCCATCTTCCTCTATTTTGTATATGGGACACAGCCACAACAAAGCTTGATGTGTAATGCGTAGGTCCATGCCCGGGATCCAAACATGCAAACTCCAGGCTGCTGAAGCAGAGTGTGCCAACTTAAACACTACACCACCGGGCCGGCCCCTAATGTCTCTTTTAAAATAACAACAATAAACAAACACATAGAGACAGAGATTGGATTGGTGGTTACCAGAGGGGAAGAGGGGAGGGAGGAGGGCAAAAGGGATAATTTGGCACATGTGTGTGGTGATGGGTTGTAGTTAGTATTTGGGTGGTGAACATGATGTAATCTATGCAGAAATAGAAGTATAATGATGTACACCTGAAATTTATACAATGTTATAAACCAATGTTACTGCAATAAACAAAAAATTTAAAAAAAAAATTAAAAATGCTATCATCTGCTAAGAGGTGACGCTTTTGTATGTGTAAGTCACCTGTATTTGGAAGACTGTGAAGAACAGTGGCAAGGGAGAGGCACCTGTGTCTGCAGTCTTCTTGAACTTTAAAGTATACTATTCAATAGTTCACAGTATAGTCACAGAATCGTGCAACCACCACAACAATCAATTTAAGAGCATTTTCATCCTCATAAAAAAATATTTATCATTTAGATAGAACTCCCTACTCTCTGCCTCCCCCAAGCCCTATACAACAATTAATCTAGTTTCTGTCTTTAGATTTGCCTATTCTAAGCATTTTCTGTAAACGGAATCATGCAATATGTGGTCTTTTGTGACTGGCTCCTTTCCTTCAGCATAGTGTTTTGAAGGTTCATCCATGTTTTAACATGTCAGGGCTTCATTACTTTATATCGGCAAATTGTATTCCATAGTATGGATAGCCCATATTTTGTTTATTCATTCAACAATTTGGCAAATGTTTAACCATTGCCAAATTCAATATCACAAAGTTTTACCTACGTTTTTCCTTAAGAATCTTATAGTTCTAGTTTTACATTTAGGTTTTTGATCCATTTCGAGTAATTTTGGTGTATGGTTTGAGGCAGGCAGTCCAACTTCATTAATGCTCTGCCATGTGGATAATCAGTTTCTCCAGAAGCATTTATTTAAAAGAGTGTTTATTCTCCTGTCAAAAATCAATCGACCATCAATGTGTAAGTAAATTTCTGGATTCTAATATCTCTTTTATTGATTTATATGCTTATCTGTATCACATTTTCCTGAGTAGTGTATTTGTAATTGCCTTTGAAATCAATTAGTGTAATTCCTACATCTTTGTTCTTTTTTTTTCAAGATTGACGATTTTTAGGTCCCTTGAATATCAATGTGAATTTTAGGATTAGTTTATCAATTCATGCAAAGAAGTCAGCTGAGATTTTGATAAAGATTGTGTTGAATCTGTATATCAATTCGTGGAGAATTGCCGTTACAACAATATTAAGTGTTTTAATCCTAGAATATGAGATGTCTTTCCATTTATTTAGATCTTTTAAAATATACTTCTTACAATGTTTTGTAGTTTCCACAGTATAAGTTTTGCAATTTTCTTGTTAAATTTATTCCTAAGTATTTTATTCTTTTGGTGCTATTGTACAGTCATGTGCTGCATGGCGACATCTCAGTCAATGACAGAGCAAGTATACGACGGTGATCCCATAACATTTTACCGTATAACCTAAGTGTGTATTAGGCTATACAATCTAGGTTTGTGTAAGTGTACTCTGTGATGTTTGCACAATGATGAAATTGTCTAATGACACATTGCTCAGAATGTATCTCTGTTATTAAGTGACTATGACTGTGGTGGGATTGTTTTAATTTCATTTTGGATTGTCTATTGCAATTTCATATTGTATATTTTCTAGTGAATTCCCAAATATTTTCTCTATATAAAATCATTTCATCTGCCAATAGAGGTAGTTTTATGTTTTCCTTTCCAATGTGGATTTCTTTATTTTATGTTCTTGCCGAATGTCTTGGCTTGACCCTCCAATAAAATGTTGAATAGAAATGAAGAGAGTGAGTCTCCTCATTTTGTTCCTTATCTTAGAAAAAAAAAATTAGTGTTTCACCATCAAGTACAATGTCAGCTGTGGGTTTTTTGTAGATCCTTTTTACCTATTTCTGGAAGTTTCTCTCTAGTCCTAGTTTACTAAGTATTTTTTTCATGAAAGGTATTGGATTTTGTCAAAAGATTTTTATGTGTTTATTGAGATGGTCATGCAGTTTTTGTCCTTCATTTTATTGATAATCGTGTATTATACTAGTGATTTTTCAGTTGTTAGAGCAACTTTGCATCGTGGGATAAATTACAGTTCTTCTTGGTGTATAATCCCTTTTGCATATTTCTGATTTTGGTTTGCTCATGTATTGTTAAGGACTTTTGTGTCTACATTCGTAGGAGATATTGGTCTGTAGTTTTCCTTTCTTGTGATGTCTTTGCGTGTTTTTAATATCAGGACCTTATTGAATATGTTGGCAACTCTTTCTTACGTTTCTACTTTTTGGAGAATCTTTCGGAAGAATTGATATTAATTCTTGGTCAAATTCATCAGTGAAGCCATCTTGGTTTGAGCTGTTCTTTGTAGGTAGTTTTTTGATTATTAATTCGATCTTCATTTGTCATAGTCCTATTCAGATTTTCTCTTTCTCTTTGAGTTTATTTGATAGTTGATCTTATCTGCACCTACTAGTACTGGAGTTTCTTTTTTTTTTTTAATCAAAGTATAATTGTCATACAATATCATATTAGTTTCAGATATACATCATAGTGATTTGGTATTTACATATATATTGAAATGATCACCATGATAAGTCTAGTTACAATCTGTCATCAAACAAGTTAATAAAATATTATTGACTATATTCCCTATACTGCTCATTACATCCCTGTGGCTTATTTTTAAAGTAGAAGTTTGTACCTTTTAATCCCCTTTACCTGTTTCGCCTGCATTCCAAACCACCTCCCATCTAGCAACAACAAGTTTGTTTTCTGTATCTATGAGTCTGTTTCATTTTGTTTTGTTCATTCATTTCTTTTGTGCTTTGGATTCCACATATTAGTGAAGTCATATAGTAAT